CTTATTATTATTAAGCAATATTTTAAAGTTTGAAGGGCATTTTCATCTGTTACTTTTCAGGACTTTGTGCATAGCATAATTAGCGAATGACTTGCCATTACCAACAACACCTGCTGATTGCAAATCGACGTAAAACTAGTCTCACCCTTAAAGCAAGTACACCCCATAATATAGCCCATCATTGATGCTAGACGGGGCGCCCCGTCCTGCAGGCCCCGTTTTGACTTTCAACAAGCCCCGTAGGAGCTCTCCACTTAGTTCGATTGCCTCCATCCGCCCCCTGAAGGGGCAACCAGTTTGGTTCTTGCACATAAACAAAGGCGCGCACGACAGATGATTATGTTTAACGCACTTGATTCTCACAGAGCGTACACCACAAGTTTGTGTATGCTACCGGAATTAATGAGGGGACACGTAAATTGTCATTAAACGCATGAAAAACCGACCACAACTAATCAGTAGCACACAAAAACTATGTCACTAGTTATGTGAAGGACGAACGCTGCAGGAGTTTAACGGAGGCCGTGTTGTGCCAGGCAGGATCGAATTTAAATGGCGCTCTCTTGCGGAGGGAACAGGAACTGCCGAGGGAAAGAAGGAAAACATGGTGAGAGGCGAGGAAAACCGGAAAATGCATCGGCGACGCCGCGACGGACTTTTGCAAGCAGCTCGTGCTGTTCGGGACTTGTTTCGAATCGACAGCAATGTTGCCAAAATCTACAAAACTGTATTATTTATCGATATAATTAAATAGGTCTACAAGATGGGCCACTGTTCTACAAGATGATTAAAACTGGCGTAAATCTCTTGAGGTGTGGCCTGCGGTAATTTGGATAGTACAAAAAAATCCACAAAAAGAAATTATTCTCACAAAAAAACTGAGATATTTTCAAGAAACTAACTCATAAATGTGCCAACAGTGTATTTAATGACACATTAAAAAGACGTTTTCATCATTCACATTACATAAGTATATACTTGCTTGAAGCGTCAATCAGCAGAAGTAAAACTTAACGGGAATTATTTATTATGATGCAAAAGTCAATAGCTCAACACTCAGTTCATCGTGAGTACTGGCAGAAGACACCTCGACTCCTTACCGCAGTAAGGCAGTTGGTGAGACCTCCACAACCAGTGCGTAAAAATGAACTGCTAGATCCCGGCTGGCAAAAAATAAGGACAGTGGCCTTTTTAACAGGACACGCCCCCTGCAAAAAACACCTCTTCAGGATGGGACTGAGCGATCAACCGACCTGCAGGGGGTGCGAATTAGAGGACGAAACTACTTTACATATCATCATTAGCCACTGCAAGTCATATGCAACAGGTAGACGAAGACTCCTGGGAGGGGATAAAGTTCTACCAGACCAGGTCATGCGTACCTCCCTCAAGACTCTTCTGGAATTCATTGAATACACAGGGATAATGAGGGAGTAAAATACGAGGGCACACTAGGACAGAAATGACCGCGGTGCAAGGCCAAACACCACCTCAGCGGCGAGGAAAGGGTTTTAGTGGGTAAACAGCTTAGCTGGACACCACCAGATCTGGGTGTGCTCAGTTTATCCATAATACAATGAATACAAGGAAGGATATTGCGTCGATTTGCGTGAGGTCATGTGGTACTCACTACCGTGTTGCCATACCTAGCACAAGGTGGATTTCGAATTTGGGCGTGTCGTGCTAGTTTCCTGTCCGATGAATGTGATTAAATATGGCTTACTCAGTCTTGGTCACATTCCATTATTGTTTTATAAATATTCGTTATAATTACAAAATGCTTTGCAACGCGTTTTAAACTTGAAAATGAAAAGCAACAAAAATTAATTAATTTTGCAGGCTAGGAGCACTCAAAGTAAAGGAAGCATAGTTGTAAATGTGCAATCAAGAATAGCGTTTGCTCCATAAAATGTGCCCTTGCAGAAAATTAGGTTTCATTATTTATCACGGAATATGTAGTTTGGAGTGCCGCATGTAATTGTAATGATGTGTGTAAATGGCTTGCTACAGAGCGTCAATTCCTTTTTCACGAGTTATCAGCTTAAGCTTTAAACCTGCTTTTGGCAAGTACGCTACAAGTTCAAATTACAAATTCATATTCTAGCTTAGGCAACATTAACTGTGTCACGACAAGCATTCGGCCATAACTTGCTTAAAATAATGTATTTTGGAAACTTGAATGACGAATTATGATGATATGAAACTTTATTTCCAGTTTTACAGCGTTTCGTATCACTATTGCAACTGTAAATTTCACACTGTATTTTTTATATTACTGTATTATACTATACTGTAATATACTTTACTATATTACAACTACCAAAACCCAAACACTTTCATAGTTAAACCCGACTTTACGATTGACAATCTGGCGACTCGGCAAACTAAACCGCTGAAAATCTGAGATTTTGTAAAGACTTCTTTAGAGTATTTTTCTTCTTTTCTACTTTCTTCGTAAGCCTAAATCAATCAAGCCCCAAACACTATTTTGAATGCATTGAGCTATACAACACTGCTAAATATATCCTTATATAACTTTCCATTTTTGAACTATGTATTGCGTTTTTAAAATCGTTATAATTTTATGAATAAATCGAAGTCTAATAAAAAATTTAACACTATTTTCTGGGGAAAGAATGACTCAATTACTGGATTCAACACAAAGCTGCATTTTTGAATAGAGATTCCTAGCGTGTTATGATGATGTTAGCGACTATCAAAAATTCTAAATGAGTCCTGTTAAGGTTTGTCTTGCTTGAAGCTTATTATGGTTCCTTTGATATTTGGTGTTTGGTAAAATTGTGAACCTTTTCATAAAACTGAAATTCTCTTTTCTATTTGCAGTTTTTACAAAATACATTAAAAAATTAAAGTTGACTCTAAAACGCATCAACCTGATAAGATTTTTATTCGGGGACATCTGCAATATTTCAATACTTTCTGATAAAAGCCATACATAGTTATTAGTTCGATTTAAGTAAACAGAGCGTGTTTGTTGTAGGCCTGGGTAACACTGTGTTGCGTGGCTCTGTTGTGTTAATGCCCCTCTGTGCGTCAATGCGTTATAACACCTGGCATCTTAGGGTTTAACACCTTGAATAACACTTTCTTAATCTCATTCAAGATGGGAAACTTCGAATAGAAATGTTGTTAATTTTTTCGTTGGTATTATACGGGACAAATCAAATACATGAAGTTTCTCCACACTTTTGTCGACGTTTCGACCCTTTTATTTCGGCATCCTCAGGACTGTGTTACCCAGGCCCAGTTTGTTGTAGACGAAAAACTTTAGACATTATTTTACAGAAACAATTTTTCTTATTTTATAAAAACAGTCCTGCGCTAAAATTCATGTTTTTATATTGCTGCTAACTAAAATAAATTTGTATTCCTGCAGGATTCAAATCTGACAACAATGTCAACTGATATTGTTTGTAAAATAAACCGGGTATTAAAGAAAAGATCAATACGTTTCTGTTTTGAAATGGACATAATGCTTTCCTTCGGGCACTAATCATTGATTTTTTATCCCAAGAAGCACGACACAACCAGGACCTATCGACGTTATTATCTCGTAGCGGAGTTCGAGCAGAATCGATAATATGAAATTGCATGGGGACAAATGTTTTCAAAAAACAATATAAAATATTTAACACTGGAAAATAAAATATAATACATACAATCGAATTACATAATTAGAGTTGCAAGGAGCACTTTACGTACGAATGGAAAAGTTGCGTACGATGCCGCGAAGCGGCGAGTGCGTAATTTCATGAGTACGTAAATGCGTGCAACTAGAAATATGTACCATACTTTACCTACGACCGTAACAACTAACCGAAAGAAAAATGTGTATGTTTTTAAATGCGTCAGTTCCGCCCAGAACTGCAAATTAAAATGTCATACGTTCATAAACAAATATTCAATAAGGTACATTTTCCCGAAAAGTTTTACTGTTATTTGCGGACAAAATATCGGACTTCTTGCTTTTAACCCATCAGACTCACTTTTCAGTAGGGTAAGTATTTTTTTATACAAGATGCAACGTTTAAATTGTGATGAATGATGACAGAACTGTGCGTTTAGTTTACAATGAGTAAAATGGAACTTACTTAGATGGTAGGAAGTGTGTTTTATACTACTCGTACTTTCAGTAGTGGTCGTAGATAAAGAAAATTAAAAGTTTTTTTCCAGTTAAGATTTCCGAAGACCAGTAAGGATTGCGTTAATAAAAATAGAATGAACTCCAAGATTATATAGTTATTGGACGGCCAATAAGGACATGCAATAAGAAAGTTAGTACACATACGCTTGCGCAAGTGAGTCTAAAGTAAGGGATTTAACTGTTCTGTGTTTGTGCAGCCATACTGGACAGCTTTATTTCTACCTTAAACTGACAGTTGACATTTATAACGTCTGCTTGCAGGTTTTTTCAGAGTATACATAAACGAGTTTCTATTCAACACGTTTTTCCATTGAAACCGTTAAGAGAAAATGCTCAATAAAAAGGTATGACAAAAATACAAATGACAATTCATTCTGTAATATATATCTATATTCATTCTATAATTTCATTCTGTAGAATTAGGTTAGAACCCTTTGATAACGAAAGCAGTGAACTAGACATCCCAATAACTATAATTTTGTTAAAAAAATACAGCTAATCCAGTATTAAAATAACGTTATTACTGCGTGACAGTATTTATAATTTCCAATAACTATCTAATTGTCTGAATTTGCAATTTTCCTTCTACTTTTTTCGATGTTATGAATTTCTGATTCCCTAAACACAATGATATCGAAAACATAAGACAGACTAGTTGAACAATTGAAAGTTGAGCTACTGCATAATCGGAAAAATTTGAAACAGTTAAATAAGGATTTATTACAGAAGAAATCAACATTTGAGAATAGTTTCTTTGGTAGATTCGAACGTCTTTACTGCGAATAACCCTGTATCTCGTAAATCGATGAAGTTCTAATTGAAAAGTAGTACTTACCAGACAACGGACTATTTCCGACGTTATCCCTAGCAGCAGCGAAATGGGGATTCTGGAGCAGCTGTTGCTGGAGTAGATTATGGTTCATGGATGGTAACGGTGAATTCCCATGAGGCGGATTGGGGTAGGGCGGTGGGTAAGCCGGATGCTGCGAGGCGGGTTGCTGAGGCAAGGCAATATTGGGCGGCAAACTGGTTGGCTGATTGAGTCTATAGTCGGACATGGGAGGGAATGAAGATGGTGAATTCGAGTCACCTGCAAATAAAAATTAAAAACTATTAAAATGTTGTTTATCAACAATCAAATGAATCAGAAAGTTTTTTTATTTTAGATTTATTATTCGGTTGCACGTAAAAGATTTACTGTTTTGCGTAGTCGTTAAGTCCTCGTCAAAATAATTGCCAAGTTTGATGACAAAACGGTTGCTCCCTTGAGACATTTCTTCACTCATTGCAAGTATTGTATATCCTATAGGTAAACTGATAATAAAGCTAGGTACTTTCGCCCCGGTTTCGTACCCAAGTGGGCATACCAGCAATAAGAACTTGCGTCCGGAAATTAAGGGAGAGAGAGCCCAGGAAACCGAAGATGAAAGCTCTAAAATCGTCAAAATCAGGTCACAATGCATTCTAGACTGCTTCCATATGTTCATGGATACAAGGAAAATTAGTTTTGGCTTGCATTTTCAGAGGTTTAGCGAATGAAGTACCATATAGTACAGGAGTCATAAATGACAGAGGCCAGACGCTTATAATTTTTGTGGAAGAAAAAGAACACAAAATAATGAACAGTTTCTACCAGAAAAAGCCACAACGCAAATGGACATGAAGAAGTCTGGATGATCAAACTAAAAACGAGAAAACATAAAAGACGAAAGTTAATGTCCTGTAAAAGAACGTAAAAGGACCTTTGTTACATTCGACAAAACGGAGACAAATTTGAAAAAAATATAGAAACTACGCCGAGTAGAAAAATAGAAGGCTTCTAAAATATAAACGATCTCAATACGTTCTTGACGGACAGTATAAAAGAAAGTATAAACAAAAGTCTTCCAGGAAACAAAACAGCAAAAAACAACAATAAAATATCAGACAATATAAAGGAATTTTTTGCGAACAGAGACAGAAATAAAAGCTTTATGACGACAGAGCAGTTAAAAGAAAAAACTGATCAGAAAACAAGTAAGAGAGGATGTGGTCAGGTCCACTAAAGGGATATACGAGATGTGATAAGATAAAGGTCATAGAGTCAACTTGTATTCCAAAAAAGTTCCAGTAAGGCCACACGAAGTACCAGACAAAAGAGTTGAATTGACCAGTTATGACACTGAGGATGATATATCGCTTATAAGTAAGTATGAGATCGAATGCTTCATGAAGAAAAAGAAAAATAATAAAGCTGCTGGTCCAGATGACATAGTAAGTGAATTTCTGGACAGGCTCATGGGAAAACGCAAAAGTTATAATATTGGACAAAAAAGGCGATATAGAGGATATAAGAATTTACAGACCCATTTCATTGTTATCTCATCTCTACAAGATGTTAACAAAAATATTGAGCAACAGAATCGCTAGCAAACTAGATGCTTTTTAGCCTGTGGAACAAGCTGGTTTTCGCCGAAGATACAGCACGGTTGACCACTTACATACATTGCGACAAGTGATTGAAAAATTCAAAGAATACAATCAACACATATATCTTGCCTTCATTGACTTCAAAAAGGCTTTTGATACCATTGCAAAATGGGCTTTCCTAAACACTCCACAACGATGCTGTATTCACAACCGATACATAGAGTTTGTTAAAGCCCTCTATGATAATACCACCATGACAGTTCAGGTTTATGACGGTACCGATACCCGTAAACCGGGGAGATTTACTACGATTATATATTCTAGGGCTATATTCAAACCGCTCGATTGCGATAATGCTGGCATTAAGATAAACGGTAAACATTTGATTAATCTACTCTTTGCAGATGGCATCATACTCCTCTCAGAGAAAATGGAAGACCTCCAAACTACGCTTTCTGCTCTACCGTACCCATCTAAACCATGCTGCAAAAAATCACGGTCTTCAGACCAATGCGAGTAAAACAAAAATAATGTCATACTCAGCTGAACTTATCGTGGTCGATTTGGGTGATAGCAGTGTGGTGCAGGTCGTCGATGAATCCATATATATTGGACAGAAAGTATCCTTTGATAAGAACATACAGCTGACGAAATCAACAGAAGGATACAACTTTTTATTGTACTGATTTAAGACAATTTCACAACACCTCAAAACCCAGGTCTTCAACCAATGTGTAATCCAAGCTTAACCTATGCCCCAGAAACATGGATAGTAAACCGCAAAATAATGGACATACTAAGAATTGCACAAAGAAGGATGGAACGAAGTATGCGGGGAATACGACTGCGAGATAGAAAAACCATCGAAGGGATCCGCCAGAAAACAAAAGTAATTGACATTACAGAATACTTGACAATCATGAGATCGGAGGACAGTAGATAGACAAGGAAAGTGGCCGAATGGCGACCAAGGGGATGCAGAAGAAACCCAGGACGATTAGGTGGAAGGACGATATCCAGAAAGTAGCGGGAATGAAATGGATGAGAACAGCTGACAGAACCGAATGGAGACAACTTGGAGACGCGCCTGTCCAAGGATGGACCGAGACATGCTGACAATGACATCATGAAATAATTAAGAAAGTCAAAGCGGCAACGATGTTTTTTGTCATCAACATATAGTTACAGGTGGATAGCCCTTGTCAATAATAACAATAATTTGTCAAACTGTGACTTACTTTGAAGCTCCTTTCACAACATTTGCGGATATGCTCCAGGAAGATAGTGGACGGCAATAGATGTTCGGGTTCCAGACGCAGAGAAACAAGTATTGGACATAATTACAGCAGAGCATTTTATAACAACTGACACTTTCTCAGGCACCAAATAAATACCGAAGAAAGGCTACATTTCTGCCACGTATGTCAGATAAACAGAGCACCAGGACACATTAAACCAATGGCTTACTGAACACCGGTACAAACTGAGCAGCAGGAGTTAATTAACCGAATACGAGAAGCTGCTCGAGAAGAGTGCATAATAAGGTGATTAGACAGGCACTTATTTGGAGTAAAAAACTCAAATGTATGTTTTCGTAATTTGTAAAAAAATGAATAATTCGACGTTATGAGGACATTAATTGACATTTCGAAAAAGTATGATCCGTCATTCAACGATTCCTGCTGAATTTACCGTTTATCCTTGTCTATCTTATTGTCACTTTCTGCATAATTCCGTGGTTACCGGAGTTTTTAATAATTACAAAGCAACATGTTTTAAAGTAATGTTAGTGAGGTAGATTACCTTGAAAAACATTGTTGCCGTTTTTCTAATATAGTTTTTTGAAAATTTCTCAGTTTTTAATAACAATAAATTTTTTTACTATTTTTTCTGTACTCCTAAAACACCGCCAGACAACTATTCTAGAGGAATGACGCCAATTTAGAATCACCCGGTATAGAATCAAAATACTTGCTTTGGGAAACACTCAAAACAACTGTTTAATTGAAGTCAAGTTTAAACATTTTCGGTCTCAACAGCTGAAGCCTATTAGATCTGATGAAGAACTCCGATTCAATAACCGAGCGGATTAACCAAAATCATTTTCATTCTATAGAAAAAACTAAAGAAGATTTTGTGCCGTGAAAATTATATTTGGAATTATATTGGACTTTCTTCGAGTCATATGATACGCGACTTAACGTGCAAATTTAATTGAATCGAAAATGACCCGTACCTCAAAAAATGTGCACCTTCAACATTTTTCTCTAATGGACGTTTGACGAAGGTTCATAAATTAGACAACTAACAAGTTACCAATGTCATGCAATTCGCGTAATTAATAATAATGGAATTGTTGGCATCTTAATCTAACTTTAATAACTTTGTAATTATGAAATATCACTGCATTGTTATTACGTTACATAACGCGAATTTAAGTACACATTTTTAACTAAACAACAATTATTTATTGTCAACCTCATGCCAAGTAATTTAAATGTATAATATACTATTTCCTACCATTCCATTCGGGTTCGACTTTTCAGGATTCATGATCCACTCGCGAATTCAAAAGTCCAAACGCCCACTGACAGCTAAACTATTAATTACACCTAAATAGTAACATTTGACCTTAAGTTTGTTTAAATTTTACAAAACGAGTATTTGCTTACGTTTTGCAGCGCCATCATCAGTAGTTGCATTCGTAAATAGCTCTGTTCGCTCAGGATACTGCTTTTAGACAATTGTAGAGAACACATGAATGACATCGCGTCCAGCAATCCAATGAACATTCACCATTATGTCAGGTAAGCACTTAGTTTTATTTACGCAATGCGATTTTGCAGAATGAAAAATGTAAAATATACATTTTTAGACTACATATATCATGAGAAATAGTTAAAGAGTAATCACAATCATTCTAATTTCACAAAACCCTCTGTGAACGACAACTTGTGTGAAACATTCTTTTCAGGCAATAGCAACAAATAGATTTTTTAAGTCGTTTGCAACGGTTACCAAAACTGAGGTTTTTGGGCTAAAAAAATATTAAATAAAGCAACAGTTCAACTTTTGTATGCACATGAAATCCGAAAACTAGTGCAATTCGCTATTTTCATATTAGCTGTATGGCACATTTTTATAAAGCTGATGGAGTCAGGTAATGTAAGAGCTCAGCATACATAATTTACAGAAAAAAAAGTAATAGAGTTACAATCGCCTTATCACTAAGACTGCATTTCAGCCAGACGCAATTCAGCATCTTAGTGTCTATTGTTTAAGATTGTTTTCCTTAACATGCAAGCCCAAGATCATATTCATTCTCATCCTGTACTCGCTTCAATAAAGTCGTTTTTTAAAAACACGTTTGTTCGAGACCACATAGTAACTATAGTAGGAGCCGTCTTTTTTTCTATTTGTCGTGGATTAAATATACAGGGTGATTCCGTTTGAATCTTGCTAGCTTGAGGAATGGAGGATGTTTCTATATGATATATATGTTTTCTTAAATTGCAGGGTTTTGGCAAAGTTGGCTACAGTTACACATGTTTGCGCGCTTGTAATGCTCGGTATGATGGAATGCGTACGGGGTTTTCTTGGGTGCTTCATCGTTGCTATTAGTTTCTTGTGTGTATGCGTCGTTTATTTTTTCCATTGGTGTTCAGTATTAGTTTGTGGCCCTAATCGTTTGTGTTTTGTTTGTGTCCTCAGATAAATTTAGAAATTATTGTTGCTGCTTTAATGCTGACACCATTGTTTTTGTGAGTAAACGGGCGATATTGTTTCGTATTTTTGGTTATTCCGGTTCTGGCGTTTTGTACGTGCTTCGTGAACTTTAATTTACTATCTATTGTTATTCCTAGATATTTCACGCTGTCGGCGGGTTTGGTTATTTGGCGGGCTGTGGTCATAATCGGCTAGTCTGGTTTTATTCGGTGGTTTGAGAGAAGCATTTCAGTTTTGGATGCAATTATTGTTGCATCTGTTTGTGTCTGGAGTCTGTTTCTGCTTCACTAGTTATGTTCTGTCGTCTATACAGGATACATATATATCTCACGAGGAAACGAATACGTATTTTTAATCCACATTTTGGTGATCTATAGCGTTTTAAGTGTTATAAGTTTAAGTTATTAAGTGTTTTTCACATCATCGGGTAGAAAATGCAATTTAAAAAATATTTTAACGTCAACCTTCTAAAATCAACGGTAATTTAAATAATTTCAATTTGCTGCACAAGTATTAAAAGTCTTAATGGAAACTGATCTTTCATAACATAATTTGGTTTTCTTCCTGACTAGTTACAGCGCTAAATTTAATAAAATACTACGATTCATTAAAAAAATAAAATTACAATATCTGTATATTGCATATGCAATGCAAAATTGGCGTCATTCTTCTGAAGGTGTTGTCGGGGGGTGTCTTGGGAGTATAGAAAAAATATTTAAAAAATAATTGCTATTAAAAACAGAAATTTGCAAAAACTATATCAGAAATACGGCAACAATGTTTTTCAAGGTAATCTGCCTATTAACACAACGTAAATACCTGTTGCTTCGTAATCATAAAAAAATTCCAGTAACCATAGAAAATACAGAAAGTGACAATAAAATAGATAAGGAGTCACGGTAAATTCAACAGGGTTTCTTAAACGTGGACGTTAAAAAGACGTCGTGGACGTGGACGCTCCAAAAAGTCGCTGTCAACGAAAAATTGTTCTTTATTGTCATCATCACGCCGAATTGATGTGTCTACAAAGAAAAATATATTTCTGGCGTTAACTGCAAACCAGTTAGTGTTTGTCTAATCACCTTATAGCGCACTCTTCGGGAACATGTTCTCGTACTCGGTTAACAGTTCCTGTTCTGTTTCCGTTCCTGCTCAATTTGTACGGGTGTTCAGAAAACCATTGGTTTAATGTGTCCTTGGGTTCGGTGTATCTTACATACGTTGTAAGAATGAAGCCCTTCCTCGGTATTTATTTGGTGCCTGGGAAGGTTTCAGTTGTTGTACAATGCTCTGAGTACCCCTGAAAGGCTCTGCTGCATTATATCCAATACCTGTTCCTCTGTGTCTGGAACCCGAACCTCTATTGTTCGTCTTTGATTCTCGTCCAGTATCCTGGAGCCAATCTTCCCGTATCTCTAGCCCTCTGTTGGCTTAAGTTCTTACAGCTTCTGCTATGATAATGTGGCATTCCCCAATAACTAATAGCATATCCGCATATTCAATATTGGTGCACATTTTGTGAAAGAAACTTCAAAGTAAGTTACAGTTTGACAAATGGTTGTTATTATAAAGGCTATCAACCTGTAACTATCTGTTAATGACAAGAACATCATTGCCGCTTTGACTTTTCATTAAAAAATTGTAGAAGAATAATTTTTCAATATAAAAATGTTTCATAATTTGAAGCAAAGATCGAAATTTTTCTTTTAGAATGCTTAAGTATTTGAAAAGGCTACCAATCAAATTTGGGACCATTTCAAAATAATGCTTAATAACAAAACAAAGTTGAAATTCAATTTTCAAGTGTTAATATCTTCTATAAATTTTGGAAACAAATATTTTTGTCGTATTCTCCAAGTGTACATTTATAACTATAACCCCTTAAAAGGAATGGTGCCAATTTTGATACAATGATGAAATTGCATGAAAAAATTGTATGAAAAAATAATGTATGAATATGAATAATGTTCATTGTATGAAAAAATAATAAAATTGCATTCTAAAAGTTATTAAAAAAAAACGATTCTCAGGTGGCCCCTTTAGAGGTTTGTATCTCCGTAGAGGGACCCTCTGGATTTTTTTTATAGAAACCAGTTTTGTTTTTTAACATCCTGTATACGTACCATGGTTAATGATATTATGTTACAATTAAATTATTCCACAATTTTCATAAGCGTTTTTGTTTGAATCGATTTTACCAAAATACATAAAAAGTATATAAAATTGCTTTGATGTAAGCTAAAGTACGTTTCCATCAACAAGCAGTATCTACTTTTTATTTAGTTCGATGATATATTATTAATTTGATCAAATTTAGCGTTCTAGATGTCAATAAATCAATGCGCCCCTTCTTTACAGCTAGTACAGCGCGGCACGCACAGATTGCGCGCACTGAAAATCAATAACTGGAATTTTCCTTAAATTAACGTTTTATGCATATTTACTTTTAAGCGCGTATTATCATTTTAAATACAAACCTGGCTCGGATTTAGAAGAAGAAAGTGGGCTCTCTGGTAATAAGATCCCTTTTGAGATCAACTCGTCTCTATTGGCTCGGACCGATATTTTTCTTTCTAAAGCTAAAACAAAACAAATTACAATTAAGAATAAAAAAAACTTAAACATCTTTCATTATTTACCAAGTAACTTTTTATTATTATTATTGTTGACCTAGGGAGAGAAATATGAACCTATCGCAGATCATGCTGCTATTAACGATCAACCTTTGGCAGCTAAAATTGACATTTGTGTTCCTCACACGCTAATAATAGTGTAATTTAACGGTCAGATCTATTTACATCGACGAAAGGTCAGGACAATCAAAGCATGCTATATACAATGCCTGTAAAATGTTCATTTAAAATTGCTCACGGTGTCAATAGTAAAACTATTCAAACTGATAATAACCTATGGATTTTTTTATGCTTCTACTGGAGACAAACACTATAATCAGTTTGAATCTGGATTTCCGTCCAGTTAAACAAGAAAGAAATATTTAAAACTGCTAAAATATTCAAATGTACAGGGGGGTGTGATGGGTGGCGACTAAAACATCGAACCATCAATGCAATCCTCACCTGCTCGCGGTACACTTTAAAAGTTCGTTGCGCATCAGTCCATAAAGGTTTTTATAAACCGAATAGTGCCTGACACTTAAGAAAGTTGCAAACTTTTAACTATTATCTTATGCGTTAGGCGTTATTCTAATGAGGCATGCGCATTTTGTAGGATAAATTATATTCCAATATCCCAAGTGTCTGTGGGCTGCAGAGGCCAGCAAATAAAAAAATCAGCCAAAAAACGGAGGTGTTGATCCCAGAGCGAAGAGGACAAGAGACTCGCCGAGATATGCGGCCTTGAACAGGAGAGTATACAAGTAAGCAATATCAGCCCAGAAGAATGGGTTGCATAATTTCAAGAAACATACAACAACCAGTCGGAAACCGAGATAGTTCCAGAATATAACCGGCACGACACGAGTCAACCGATAAATACATCTGAAATAGAAGTAACGATAGAGGAAGTAACGAAAATCATAGGCAAACTGAAAAACGGAAAAGCCCCAGGTGTAGATGGCATCAGTAATGAAATGATAAAATACGGAGGGGAGAATGCTGCTAAAGAATTAACAAAACTTTTTAATAAAAAAATTCAAGAAAAAACGATCCCTGAAGAATGGCGCACCAGCATAACAATCCTAAAATTAAAAAGAGGCGACAAAAAACAACCAAAGAACTATAGGGGAATAACCTTACTGAGCGCTGTTCTTAAAATTTTCACAAAAATAATGGCCCAAAGAATTGAACGAAAATTAGGAATATGCGAAGAACAGCAGGGTTTCCGCCAAATCCACCATGGACGAAATCTTTATATTGAGACAATTAGCAGAGAAAGGGATTGAATACGACAAGCCAGTATTTATGTGCATGGTTGACCTAAAACAAGCATTCGATAGAGTAAAGCTAACAGACATCGAAACTATTCTACACCTCCATGGCCTAGATATATCCGCATAGTAAGAGATCTGAATAGGAACGGCAAAACGTGAATCAAAGTTAACCAGAAACTAACACAAGAAGTACATTTAAAACCAGGAATACGGCAGGGTGACAGTTTAAGCCCCACACTTTTCAATATAATAATGAACGAAATTACAGAGGATGTTAAACGAGAAGGAGTAGGATACCGAATGGCCCACAAATCTTTAAAGATATTGTATTATGCAGATGATGCCGCATTAACATCAGAAAGTGAAGACGTGAGAACGGCAAGACGATATAATATGACTATCTCCACAGAGAAAACACAATCCATCGTCATATCTAAAGAACCCATCAGTTGAAAGTTGGCAGTCGATGAGAAGACAATAAAGCAAGTGATGAAGTTTGACTATCTTGGCGCGCAAAACGAAGGCAAATACAATGAAGGCATCGAGAATCTCAGGAAGCTTGCTAGACGTCATCTGGAACAATACATTCATGTCAACTGAGAGTAAAGTCAGGATCTACAAGACTTGTGTGAGACCAATTCTTACGTATGCATCGGAAACTCGAGCGGAAACATCTAAAACGAAACAACTAATGAGGTGCGCCGAAATGAAAACGCTAAGAACAATCAAAGCAGTAACACTAAGGGATCAAATACGGAGCAGTACCATAAGAGAAGAATTACAGGTGGACGATGTAGTTGGGTGAGATGGGTGAGATCAAGAAGAGGGCAATGGAGAGATCACCTACATGGAATGGAACAAGATAGAATTGCGAAATGGGCTAAAGACCACATACCACAACGTGGCAACCCCCAGGCCGGCCACCCAAGAGGTGGTATGAAAGTTGGACATCAGGATCAACTGAGGCAAGACCGCAGAAATAACAGGACAAGTCCTATATTAAGAGGAAGTAGAAGACGAACAGGAGAGTGAAGAAGGCTATTAGAAAAGACCGTATAATATGAACTTGATCAAGAAAGCCTTTGAGAATAACAACAATATGTTTGAGTTTTGCGCTTCGGATTGTCGAAAGGAAAAAATGAAAATATTGAAAATGCTAAAAAAACGACCAAAGAAAAGTTGTCACGGATAGGGACACAAAACACGGAAATCAGTGAAAAGTTTTACCGTAACCTCTACGATTAGGCAGCGCAACCCGAAAGCGAAGAGCGAGCAACCCGAAAGCGAATGTAGGACCCGAGGAACTTCAGAAAATCGACAAAAAGCGAACTGAGAGCTGTACTAGGCCAACTAAAGAACGGCACAGCGCCTGGCGAGGATATGATAGCGAGCAAAATGCCGAAAACCGGTGATGAGAGGCTGGAACAAGTATGTCTGATACTTCTGAACAAATGTCTCGAGGAGCGCACAGTTCTCGAGACATGGCAGAGTGCAGAGGTTATCCTGCTCCTCAAGTAGGACGACTGTGCGAATATAGAGAACTATAGACCTATCGATTTGCTGATCCATCCTTTATAAGCTGCTATCCAAGATTACAACCAGTCGTCTTACCCAGAAGTTCGACTTTTACTAGCCAATCGAACAAGCTGGCTACAGTAACGGATTCACCGCAATTGACCATATCCATGCAGCTAATATCCCTCCTATGGCCTTTGTAGACTACCAGAAGGCCTACGGTTTGATTGAAACTTGGGCTGTGCTTTGGGCAATGGACCGTTGCCGTATTGACTCCAGATACTCAAGCTTGATTCGGTACATGTACGAACATACTACTTTGACGGGTTTGACACCGAGCGATGGAGCGGTCGATGATGAAATTCGAAACAAGGATATTAGGAAGAGAACAGGGGTCGCAGATGTGATGGGTCTTAAGTGGCAATGGGCGGATCACGAGAGAAAACACCAAATGAACTAGAAGGGAAGTGTTTTCAGACCTCAAGCAAGATG